TGATAAAGGAGCCATGGACATACAATGGGGAAATGACAGTCTCTTCAACAGATGGTGCTGGCAAAACTGGACAGCTACATGTAAGAGAATGAAACTGGATCACTGTCTAACCCCATACACAAAAGTAAATTCGAAATGGATCAAAGACTTGAATGTAAGTCATGAAACCATAAAACTCTTAGAAAAAAACATAGGCAAAAATCTCTTCGACATAAACATGAGTGACCTCTTCATGAACATATCTCCCTGGGCAAGGGAAACAAAAGCAAAAATGAACAAGTGGGACTATATCAAGCTGAAAAGCTTCTGTACAGCAAAGGACACCATCAATAGAACAAAAACGTATCCTACAGTATGGGAGAATATATTCATAAATGACAGATCCTTTAAAGGGTTGACATCCAAAATACATAAAGAGCTCACACACCTCAACAAACAAAAGGCAAATAATCCAATTAAAAAATGGGCAGAGGAGCTGAACAGACAGTTCTCCAAAGAAGAAGTTCAGATGGCCAACAGACACATGAAAAGATGCTCCACATCGCTTGTCATCAGAGAAATGCAAATTAAAACCACAATGAGATTATCACCTCACACCAGTAAGGATGGCTACCATCCAAAAGACAAATAACAACAAATGTTGGTGAGGTTGTGGAGAAAGGGGAACCCTCCTACAATGCTGGTGGGAATGTAAATTAGTTCAACCATTGTGGAAAGCAGTATGGAGGTTCCTCAACATGCTCAAAATATAAATACCATTTGACCTACAAATTTCACTCCTAGGAATTTACCCTAAGAATGCAGCAGCCCAGTTTGAAAAAGACAGATGCACCCCTATGTTTATCGCTGCACTATTTACAATAGCCAAGATATGGAAGCAACCTAAATGTCCATCAGTAGATGAATGGATAAAGCACTTGTGGTACATATACACAATGGAATATTACTCAGCTATAAGGAAAAAACAGATCCTACAATTTGCAACAACATGGATGGAGCTAGAGGGTATTATGGTCAGTGAAATAAGCCAGGCAGAGAAGGACAAGTACCAAATGATTTCACTCATATGTGGAGTATAAGAACAAGAAAAACTGAAGGAACAAAACAGCAGCAGAATCACAGAACCCAAGAATGGACTAACAGTTACCAAAGGGAAAAGGACTGGGGATGATGGGTGGGAAGGGAGGGATAAGGGTGGGGAAAAAGAAAGGGGGCATTATGATTAGCATGTATAGTGGTGTGGGGGGGTTACGTGGAGGGCTCTACAACACAGAGAAGACAGGTGGTGATTATACAGCATCTTGCTACACTGATGGACAGTGACTGTAGTGATGTGTGTTTGGGGGACTTGGTGAGGGGGGCAGCCTGCTAAACATAGTGTTCTTCATGTAATTGTAGATTAATGATAGCAAAAAAAAAAAAGTACATGCTTTATAGTAGACTTAAAAGAATGAAAATTTTAAAGTCAACAATCAAAATCTAGTGATAAAGAAATGTGGTCCCTATATTTAATGGAAGAAACTTATCTAAGCCACTTGGCTGAATGGCAGGCTAGGAAACTTATACACTGTACTTCAAATGTTAGTTAATCTGTCTCTCCCACCTGATTATAAGCTTCTGAAGGGAAGAGATTGTATCTTCTGTTTGACATGGCTTTTTGGAGCCTGAGATGCACTCTTGCAAATATCCTCAATTGTGAGAAATGTTTCCAAAAAATGAAGTCTAATTTCAAAAGATGACAAAATTTCTTACTAGGGGATTAAGCAGGTAATTCATTTATATAATACTCACTAAATTTACCCAACTTTGAAGATGGAAAATGAGCTGTGAAAACAAAGCAATAAAATAGAGGAGCAGTGTAGCATAGCTGTTAAAAGAGTACAGCCAAGTTGTCTGGGTATGAATCTCAGTTCTGAAAGTTATAATCTGTTGACCTTAAGCAGGGTACTGAAATCCTATGTGCTCATTTCTTTATCTGTAAAATGGAAAAAGCAGGTCATAATTTATTGGAGAATTCAATGAGTTATTATATACAAAGTCCTCAGAACAATGTTTGGTACAAAGCACTGGCTATTGTTGGTATTTCTGATATTCTTTCGTGGACTGAATTTCAAGGACATTTTATGAAAAACATTTCTAACTTCTTAAGCCAGTGCTCCTCAAAATGGGGTTTGCAGATTTTTTGCCAATCTGTGTTTGTTACTAGTCTGCAATAAGGTAAGCAAGATATAAATCAACTCTTTGGTTGACATTTTTTTCCAAAGTAAGATTTTCTCAATGAAGGAATAGTATGTTGATTTACATTCTAGTATAGTTCCTTATTTCACTGCCAGCAAGTGTAGTTTGCATTATAGATATAGTTATACACACATGTATAGTACATATAAATAAACACCTTATGGCCATATCTCTTATATAAGTATATATAATTTTGTCTGCATTATAAAAATAAAAAGATGCAATACTACCAATTCTGGAGTAAAATCTCTTTCTCCAAACCAATTACTCAGATATTCCAAGACACTAGTTACTGTTGCCTAAAAAAAAAGGAGGAGATGAGATAATCATATTAGCAACACAACACTCAGAACTTAATGAGTTTCATTAAGTTTAGTTAGATAGCAACTCTGACATTCTAAATAGCCCATTCTTTGGACTTCCAGAGAAAACTAAACGTAACTCTTTAGTAATTTGATTAGATGGCTAACTCAGTGAGAATAGGCTTTTTAGATGAGTATTCTTATACATTTCCAAGTATGGATATATTGGCTTAAATCCCAGTTATAGCTACTAATATAGTTAACAACTACTTGAAAAATGCCATGTGCTCTTAAAAAAAATCTTTGCATAAATACCTTCATATTCTTTTCATTAAATCAAAGTACAAATATAAAGAGAAAGTTACTGGAGAAAAATCTGTTTTCAAGCTATACAGATAGAATTTACCTAACTTGGGGAAGGCAGTACCGCACAGAGAAGATAAGTAGTAACTCTATAGCAGCTTACTATGCTGATGGACAGTGACTGTAATGGGGTATGTGGTGGGGACTTGATAATGGGGAGAATCTAGTAACCATAATGTTGCTCATCTAATTGTATATTAATGATATCAAAAAAAAAAAAAGAATTTACCTAAGTGTTGAAAATATTCTCTGGCTTATTCAAATATAGTTGGACACTTACAAAAATTATCCATCCAATTTAGCATGACTACTACAGTATCTTAATGCAAATGATCAAGTAAATGATCATTACTCATTACAATGAGTAATGAAACTCTCAGCCACTCTATGATTTACAACAGAGTATGACACTTAAAAATTTTATCTTCCAAAGGTACCCAATGCTACATGAAGGCAAAACAGTTTTTATTTGCTCTTTAAATGGATAATAGAGTTCTTAGTCCTAAAAGACTGAAGAACCAAAGTTTCTATTTCTCCCCTTTTGATCCAAGAAACTATGCATTTAATTCTTAATAGAATGTGTAGAATATCTGGAACTAGAAATAACAATCTAACCTTAGTATTTATTTCAGATCCCAGAATCCAAGACTTACAACCAAAATATATAACACTGAATAATTTAGCACCATGTTTAAGAGCATGAGTTCTGGAATTAGACCAACATGGGATTGAATCCCCAGTGTTGCCATTAAGACTTGCTGAAAAACCACCTGCAAGTTACTTAACCTCCAATTTTGTTTTTTCAGCTACTAAGTATGGACCTTAATAACAACTCCCCATGTAGGATTGTAGTGACAACTGAGAACTGTGAAAGCGTTTAGGACAGGGTCTTGCAGTTCAGTAAATACATTTGTAATACTTTGACATAATTACAAACAAAAGAATGCATTTATCCTTATTATTAGATTGATTTTACCTGATTCATTCTGCTAACAATACTTAGCAAGGGAGGGAAACCAATCTGAAAGAAAAATAAGACTGAAATTTACTATGTGGTATTATAAGGAGGGGCTTCACTTTTTTTCAAACTGGTCAATTTCTTACCACACTGTTATTTAAAAACAAAGGATAAAAGAAAATTCTTTCACTACCCATTATCATTATAATAAAACATTCCTTGAATTATGTTGGTAATGCCCAAGAAAATAATGTCTTGATATTAGAATACGTAAATTTAAAAATAATGATTTTGGTAATTACAATGTTAGCAGTATGAAATTTTTAAAAATGATACTATTTATATTATGACATTAATCTGTGATACACACTTTTTCAAAATCTTCAGCTAAAGCTAATATTTTCAGGAATTAAGGGACTTGAATGGTACAATTTTTTGCAAATCAAATCTGATTTAAGTAAAAAAGTACTTTTCAGTTTAATGCTGGGAGCCTTGATTATAAAAATAGCACGGACTTGTGAGAAACTCCAGACAATATGCATTAAAGTCTTGTGTCCTTAATTGGTTCTTTCACATAATGTATTTTACTTAATATATTTTATAATAACAAGCTAAATAAATAAACTTTAAATCCTTGTCAAATTAAAACACATTTTGAAATGTAACATACATTAGGGATATTATCCAAAAGAGCAATAGGTTGTATAAGAAACAGTACCTAGTTATTTCCCTTAGAGACTTGAATCTGTTTACAGGCCTCCCATGTGTAAAACTGCCTGTTTTTCCAGCCCTCTGTCAACCCCATGTATCAAATTTTGCCAGAATGTTACCTGAAAAATAGCAGCTCAGGGGGGCTGTAAACTATATTTCTATTACAAGTGATTTTACACATCATGTCACATAAGAATAATTTTATTTTCTCTCTGTGAGATGTCTTTTTATATCTTTTGACTGTTTTTTGTTGTTCTTAGTTTTTTTAGTGAGTTTTGGAGCTTTTACAATTTGGGGATATAATAATTTTAAATGGAAAAAATACAATGTGGCACAATATAGCAAAAAGTAAATATCTGTTTAGCAGCACAGAACAACAGAGTATAGGGAGCTAACAGTAATACAGATGTATACAGTGGGCTCCATACCAACACCTATAAACTTGAGGGCAGGTGAGTCCTGAAGCACAAGAAGCAGATGGCCACATAATTTATGATTAAAATAAAGCCATGTGAAATTTACATATGCCCTCAACAGTTTATCTCCAAAATATGGAATTTACTAAGCATTCTAAGCCCCTAAGTCATGTTTTCCTTTGTTTCTCTGACTACTCATTATTCATTGTTTGACCCATGCCTTATTTAAAAAAACTGAACCCTACCTAACTCACAAAATTATTACACAGCTAAAATATAAGAAATATGAAGCCTACAAAAAAAAAGTCACAGTATACTGTTTTAGAAACTAGGCTGCCAATTTTAAAGTTAAAGAGCCAATAAACTAAGTCAGGGTTAGCAAACATTTCCTATAGAACCAGACAGTAAATACTTAAAGCTTTGCAGGCCATACACTCTCAGTCACATGTTATTTGTTGTTTTTTACAACCCTTTAAAAATATAAAAACCATCTTTAGCTCATGGGCTGTACAAAAACAGGTTGCAGACTGATTTGGCCTAGACTATAGTTTGCTGAGCCATTCTACTAGATGATGTACCAAAATTAGAATGCTTTTTATTATGTTATCCATATATCACCTACTTTTACATAATCGATCCCTGAACTTTCACTTGTAGCTGGTCCAACAGCTCCTTCAGCACATAATCTCTCACCCAGACAAAATTTTTTCCAACCTTCTTCATCTTCGGATTTTGGCTAAAAGAAAAAAATTAGTTTACTTACTTCTATGTAGTTTTAAAGAACTGAACAGTGAAAAAGGAAGTGAGGAAACCTCTATATTCCTTCTATGGCAACACAAAGATATGATGCCTATTATGGGTTGCACTGTGGCCCCAGAATTCAAATGTTAAAGCCCTCACCTCCAGTACCTTTGCATGTGACTGTATTTGGAGACAGGGCTTTTATAGAGATGATGAAGGTAAAATGACACTCTTAGGGTAGGACTTAATCTAATCTGACTGGTGTCTTGTAAGAGGAAGTTTGGACATACAAAGATACTAGGGATGCACATACACATAGGAAAGGCCATGTAAGGACACAGCAAGAAGACAGCAGCTATAAGCCAGAGAGAGGCCTCAAGAGAAATCAAACCTACTGTCACGTTGATCTTAGACTTCTAGCCCACAGAACTGTGAGAAAATACATTATTTTTTGTTAAGCCACCCAGTGTATGGTTTTATTATGGTAGCCCTTAATACATTGCCCAAGTGGTCACACCAAATGTAGGATGTGTTTACCTGGGGTGACACTCTCATGCACACTGACAAGCAAGTGTGTTCAAAAAGGTGATAAAGATGTAAACTTGTACAGAAAAAAATGTACTAAGCATGCTTATAAGAATGGAGGATGTTTATCCCTAGGAGGGAGACATGGTCATATACTTCACAAACTTAAAGGGCTGTTCAGTCAAAGAAAGAATGGATTCATTCTACACTGCCAGATGGAAAAGGCTGAATAAGCATTCAGCCCAATCTAACTACCTTAACAAAATAATTTTTATATGTACACCTCTCCTTGCACATTACTTCACATAGGTGCAGATTTCCCCCTGAGAATAAGTAACTTTCATTAGATTCTCAGGGTGAATATGAGACCCCTACCAAGTTAAAACCTATTGTCCTGGAACAATAGAATTACCTTTCCCATTACTCTATTAGGTCAGAGATTGTTTCTGTTTCAGGTAGCACTGAACACCCTGATTATTAAATACACCCTGATTATTAAATGACTGGATACACAAATAAGTAACCATTTATATTGACACAGTTGCCATCAACATATGCTTTACATTTTTTTCATTTTATTATTTATATTTATATATAATTTTTATATTTATATATAAAAAATATTTATATATAAATATATATTATATATATAATTAAATATATAAATACATATATTTATATTTTTTATATATATATAAAATTTATATATATATAATATTTACATGTGCTGCAATGAACATATGCTATTGCTACATAATATTCTACTGTTTTGATGGACCATAATATATTGAATCAATTATGTTAGGTCATTTCCATTTTTGACAAATTATAGCATCATAATTTATGGATATGACTTCCTTTTAAATTAGTAAACATGTACCCAAAAGTTATTACACTGATGTTAAAGCCCTCACCTCCAAAAAAAAAGTTTTTCTACCTGCCTACCCATGCCCCCATCCCCACCATCTTGTTACTAGGAGGACTCATAGCACAGTGAATTAGAGTCAGACAAACTTTGGTTTGAATCTCAGCTATAGCTTTTATGAGCTAAATGATCATGGGCAAGTAATGTTAGCTCCTTTCACACTTTTCTTAGAGCACAGCTCCCAAATGGTATGGAAAAGCACAGAGAGAGGCCATATAATCTCTCAGCTTTCCACTGGTAGTCTTAGGCTGCTATAGCAGTAGCCTCCTCCATTTATCCCAATATGTTACCATGTAGGAGTATTAGAAAGCACTGCCTAGAGAAAGTTTCTAAAATCTGAAATCTATGAACTACCTGAAACCGTGAGCAAAATTGTGTATATGTATTTTTTTCCTCCGAAGAGAAATAGCTTCATTTGATCCTTAGGAAGAAAGTAAGATTCCCTAAAAGGTTAAAAGCATTATCCTATACCATCATACCCATATCCATTTCGTTGCCTACTCCCTTTTTTACTTAATAGTCCAGATATATCTACTGAAGAGCTTACAATTATATCCAAGCTGACAAAATGTAGGAAATGCTACTTTCCAAAATACAGGACAGCCTTTACTAAAATGTCGTAGGTATTAGCATCATTGCCTCATTGGGAAAATCCAATAAACTTTTTGTAAATACTGAAACTATATTTATTTCCTTAAAAGCAAATATCTAGAAGAACCCTTAACTTGTAGAGGCCTATTCAAAGTCTCTTAGATGCTGTATATTGAAATTGTCATAAAAATAATAATTTGCATTACTGACTCTATACTTTTCAAGGTACAGATATAGTGGAATTATGATTACTAGTGGTAGATGTGAGAGAATGAAAATAACATGGACTAAGTAAGTGAATCTTTAAAGACTGGATGTAAATATGGACTATATCAAATAGATATACATTGCACAACTTAGAGAGACTTACATACCATGGTCACATTACTATCCAACTGTTGGGATTTCCAGTGACTCCTATGTCTGTTTACACTCTAAAGGAAGAGAAGTTAGACAAATCATCTTCAGAGAATGGATAAATCAATTGCTGTACAACATTCTAACAATCCTAAAACATGGAAAATATTTCCAAAATTTCAAATTGTACTATGTCTAATAATTATAATAATTTGGTGATCGATTAGTAAATATTCTTACCTTCATGTTTCAAAATCACAAATCTTATAATTTTCCAGCTACAGTCTAAGAACAGAAATAAACCTGAGGGAGGAAAGGTGGAGAAATTTAATTAGGTTAAGTGATTCAAATACACATACCTGTCGAACAGCTGAAAACTGTGCCACTTGCTGCTGCTGCCACTGAAGTGTTGGGGAGTATCCTTTAGGAGCAGGTTGGCATCCTGAAAGCTAGAGATCAGTTCACAAACATTAGAATCAATGTTAGTCTTATGATTAGAATCTCATGCCTCTGAAAAGCAAAAGTGAAATTAAGATGAATGAATAATAAATGATCAAGACTATCCAAGAAAGTGTACTTTTTGCAGATGCAAATAAGGAGGCATTTTACTTTGCAACTTATGTCCTAGTTTAAAACATTAGGAAAAGATCCTTATATAATCACTTCAATTAGAGCAATCTGGAATGGTTTATAGTTGGAATTTCTAAGAAACCTAATAGGTTTTCTAAGAAAACACTGAAGACACGATCTGGTCCTACCTTTCTATGATAGCAAAACAGTTTGAAACAAAAAGAGAGACATATTCTAAATAAACAATTCTGGTATAGGTACTCAAATAATTTAAGACATTTGACTTTACAAGGGCTACTTCTGTTTTCTAAAATAGCACATAGTTCACAATTGATCATATTGCCTTGACATAAAACTTACTGTGGTCATTTTTTAAAAGCTAGGAATATAAATCATCATCTCATATTAACTGAAAACTCCTGAAAAAAGGAATTACATGAAACATTGTAATGCCTGAATTAAAATTTCCTGATTATAAACATCAGATAAAGGAATTACTTAAAACATAAAAGGAAAGGGATTTATCACAAAATAAAAACTTCTGTTCTTCTTTCACCTTAGGTTAAATAGCACCTCCTTACAGAGACCTTCTGTGACTATTCTGTCTAAAGTAGTACTCCCTGTTATTTTATTGGCTATTATACATGTTAATTTTCTGCACAGCAATAGTCACAATATGTAATTAATTTGTTTGGTTGTTTACTTTGTCTTCCTCAGAAGAATGTAAACTCTACAGAATGGACTTTTTCTGTCTCATCCTGTGCTGTATTCGCAGCACCTGGCATAACCTAGTTGTTTAAATAAAACTGTGCTAGATAAGTAAATGAATGAAAATATTCACTGTGTGCAAGTGTAGCTAGAAAAGCGTAAAAACGCGGGGTTCTATTCTTAAAAAACAAAACCTAAATTCATAACATGCAAACTAAATTAAATAAGATTACTTAGTGTAATAATCATGAAGACAACTGGAAAATAAAGGATAGCATAAGTAACCTGTTTAAAGACTCCTTTAGGATTGGATCATGTCCCTAGTGTGTGATGAGCAAATCTCCATGAATGCCAGGGTTACTGAAAGCTTCTCTGGAGGCAGTAAATGCCAATTGTCCTTTTGGGGGAAAAAGTGCATGCAAATGTCTAAAATCATAGGGAGTAGTCAAATCTTGCCTACATCTTGACTAATACCGTCACATACTACAGAAGAGACTTGATCTTTTAATTTGGGACGGGGGTTATTCCCTAACGGGTAAGAAAACTCACAGAAACATTCACACTTTGCTTCCTTTTCAACTTCTTTGGGTCAATTTGAGCTACCACAACATCTGGACACTGAGCTGCTTCGATCCTACAAATAAGTAACAAATGCAAGAAATGTAATTACTACTGTGCTTTGTTCATGTGTAGTAAAACAAGAGATCCATTTCTACAGTTCATTATGAAATCAGAAAAAAGTTCAGAGTTGCAATTGAGGTACTAAACAATGTATTTTTGAAATTATCTGGTTTGAAAGCAGGAAAATACGAGAGCACACACCGTGACACGTGTAATCAAATTTAACAGAATTAAGTTAATAGAAAATTGACCACATAAAGAAGTAATCAAGTGATCTCACAATGACCCAAAATCGTGTGAGATTAGGGACGGGAACAGAGGCGGGTCTTTACCACTCGGAAGGGTCCAGCGGGGCACTGTGCCCAGGGACAGGGCGGACGACCAGCCCACCCGCACAGGGCCAAATCACTCACTGGACCCGCCTCAGGTACTCCTGGGGAGTCCTCGGCGGCACGGAGGGATCGAAACCTTCTGTCAAGTCGCAGGGCTCCACTGGCAATAGCCGGGGCATTAACTCTTCCATTGCAGACTCTGCTGGTACCCAAGCCATGGTTCTCGATCCCGTCCGTCCCAACCAGCGCATGCGCAGTCTCGGTCATGGCGCAGGCGCACAAGTAGGCACCCTTCTCGCGGAGCCGAGCAAGAGGCAGGGCTTAGGAAGGCGTAATTGCACAAGGGCAAACCTGCTGATTGTCCCAAGGTTAAGCCTCCGGTAGTGTAATCAAGGCTGTGAATTTAGTTCCTTGCAAAAGTGGTTCTGAATCGTTTCTGCATGTTACCCTCTATTCTGTCTTCTAAAGATGGGGTAAAGGTTAAAGGTTATTAACCTTTATGCACCCCCTAGTAGTGAAGCATTCTTAACTTTTTGAATTAATGAGTAATATTACTGTTTTATCATTTATTGAGTTCTAAATTCTTAAACTCCGGGTAGACACATCACATAAACATTTCCTCATTTAATTTTTACAACAGCCTTTTCAAGTAGGGTTATTATCCCGGTTTTCTAGGGGGAGGATATCTATCATAAAAGGAGTTAACTGAGACAACTGCGACTTCCTCTCAAAGGGGAAGGGGCAATTCTAACCCAGATTTATCTAACACCAAATGAATGAAAAATTAATTTTTCAGAGGAATTTCTTGTGCCTGGCTACTTTAAAGATCATTTTATGTGAAATGAATTTTAATCCTAGAGTAGCCATCATCTTTTTCTTTTTTTCAAAAAGATCTCCTTGCTTATAAATACACAAAGGATAAATCTAATGCCAACATCCAGAAGTTAACAATATTAATCTTAGGGCCAGTCTTGAGAGGGGATAGTCACCTCCATTTTACAGGTTAGGAAACAAGTCAGAAATGAATTGAGTAACTTGTGCTGGGTCTCAAATTGCAAGAAACAATGAAAATACTGAATCTCATTCATTCTAAACAAGCTCTGAGTGAATATAATTAACCTTTATTTTCTAAAGTTTATGTTTATTTTTAAGGCTTTTTTTTTTAATAGCACTGCCTTTAGCCTGGGAGCAATTGATTTCAATACCAGAATGTAAATTTCTCAACTGAAAATAAAATGAGGACAGTCATTAGGTTAAGAGCTAAAGAATTAGTGCTTATGAACAGTAACTTAACAATTGGGAAATTTGTAAAAGACTGCTGGGCTGCAGTCAAACTAGAAAGTTATTTGGTTAAAATGTCACCAATTTTGGAAAAAACAGACTTGAAGAAGTATGGAGAAATACTCTCATCTCCAAAGGCCTTGGTAATTAGAACAAATTAGAAAAAGTAAGCAGTAGCTTCATTTCTGGATTTTTCTTCAAATAGTTTTTTTGCAAGGATGAGACTAAATGATTAAGCCATTTCCTCCCATTTTTCTAGAGAAAAGAACAGTTACCTAGTAGTCCAGTGAAGCAATACTTAATGCTGAACTCATGTGTAAGTCTTGTTTGAACTACACGTGGAGTGAAGGAAGCAAGGAGAGGAATAGCAGAATGGAATAAAGGTTGTCCTGGAAAATAATAATAAACTTTTCTGAAAAAAGAGGTTAGTAATAAAGTATATGAATGATTCTGAAATGGTTCTAAAATTTTAATACTCAGGAGTGAACTCATTCAGAAGAGAGGAAAGTAAATTAAAATCTGTTTTCTGCTTCTTCAAGCTAATCTGACTTAAGATAATTGATAATGAATTTTGGAGCATATTTTTAATATGGTTATAAATTGGAAATTGCATTCTGTTTTTGAATGTCTCAGATATGGGACAGCTGAGAATAAGCTATATTTGTTGATGAAGTTATCCTAAAAAAAGTGCTTAATTTTTGGATAGCTGAACTTCTAAAACTATAATTAACATTTCATTTAACCTCTTTCCAGGAAGAATTATTCCTAAGGTACTGAACTACCTCTGCATGCCCCATTTTCAAAGATTTGCAGTCACTTTTCAGTTACAATGGGAAGGTTTTTGTGTTTCGATATTTCTTATATTGGTGATTGGCTGTAGGAGTTATATGAGGGTTATGAGAACAGACTGTTCAACAGTCATTTATTGATGATGATAGCATGTTAAGTCAACCTTACAGAACTAAATGCAAAAGTTGTCCCTGTGTTTTATAGTCCCTTAAGCAGCTCAGTTATTTCCAAATGTTTGTGTGTATGATACTTACCTGGAAGAAATTATTTAAAATACAGACTCCTGGGTCTTAAAACTCTCCTCCAGAGCTTCTACTTCTGTTGATTGTTGTGGGGCTCAGAAACTGATGTTTTAAGAAATGTTGCAAGTAAGAAACACCATCCATTTTGTCCTTTTCCTCCCTCTTCCTTAAGATTTACTCCCTAGAATTTCTTATTATTATACTTAGTTCATTTTTCCTTGGCCACAAAAATTTCATTTGCCTCTTTACACCATTAAAGTTCAATGAATTTGGTCATCCAGTTAATATTTATCAGTTTCCTACTGTGTGCCAGGCATGGTGGCAGGCATGGGGAGCTACAGTGGAGAACTTCTTCTCTCATGGTGCTTGCAGTCTAGTGGACAGAGAGACTAGCTTACAGTCTGGTGGACATTAAGTCAGTGATACAATACAAACAACAAAATAAAATAAATCAGTGATACAAATGAGTTTTAAATGTTAACTGTGATAAGTATATTAAGGAAAGGTTCAAGAAGTTTGAGGAAGAATCTTGCAGTGTGGAAATAAACAAAGACCAACTGAAAGAGAACAAGCAAAGGCTATGCATTCAGAATTTGCTTTAGAAAGGGAGTCAGCCACTTGCATTTTGGCAAAGACTCAAGGACAGACAGAGGAGTAGGAAAGCTGTATACTGGGTAAAAAGGAAAGGTGGGAGATATGCCCTGATTGGAAGCTGTTGGCACAGGAAGACTGTAGGTGAGCTACTGTAGGGGAGGTAAAATTTCTCCTCTACCCTCTTAGGGTCTCTGACTGGGCCTATGAGTTAAACTGACATAAGACTGATTAACAGGAGAAAAGCATACAAATTTTACTTAGTAACTTTTATATATATATGTACAAGAAGAATTAAGACTCAAAGAAGTTAAGGCCCAAAACTTATATAGTAGGTTGAACAAAGAGCAGTATTGTGAAAAAGTGACAAGACAAAGGGGTTTGGGCTAGGGTATTTAACTGTGGAAAGTAAAGTATGGAGAAATACTCTCATCTCCAAAGGCCTTGGTAATTAGAACAAATTAGAAAAAGTAAGCAGTAGCTTCATTTCTGGATTTTTCTTCAAATAGTTTTTTTGCAAGGATGAGACTAAATGATTAAGCCATTTCCTCCCATTTTTCTAGAGAAAAGAACAGTTACCTAGTAGTCCAGTGAAGCAATACTTAATGCTGAACTCATGTGTAAGTCTTGTTTGAACTACACGTGGAGTGAAGGAAGCAAGGAGAGGAATAGCAGAATGGAATAAAGGTTGTCCTGGAAAATAATAATAAACTTTTCTGAAAAAAGAGGTTAGTAATAAAGTATATGAATGATTCTGAAATGGTTCTAAAATTTTAATACTCAGGAGTGAACTCATTCAGAAGAGAGGAAAGTAAATTAAAATCTGTTTTCTGCTTCTTCAAGCTAATCTGACTTAAGATAATTGATAATGAATTTTGGAGCATATTTTTAATATGGTTATAAATTGGAAATTGCATTCTGTTTTTGAATGTCTCAGATATGGGACAGCTGAGAATAAGCTATATTTGTTGATGAAGTTATCCTAAAAAAAGTGCTTAATTTTTGGATAGCTGAACTTCTAAAACTATAATTAACATTTCATTTAACCTCTTTCCAGGAAGAATTATTCCTAAGGTACTGAACTACCTCTGCATGCCCCATTTTCAAAGATTTGCAGTCACTTTTCAGTTACAATGGGAAGGTTTTTGTGTTTCGATATTTCTTATATTGGTGATTGGCTGTAGGAGTTATATGAGGGTTATGAGAACAGACTGTTCAACAGTCATTTATTGATGATGATAGCATGTTAAGTCAACCTTACAGAACTAAATGCAAAAGTTGTCCCTGTGTTTTATAGTCCCTTAAGCAGCTCAGTTATTTCCAAATGTTTGTGTGTATGATACTTACCTGGAAGAAATTATTTAAAATACAGACTCCTGGGTCTTAAAACTCTCCTCCAGAGCTTCTACTTCTGTTGATTGTTGTGGGGCTCAGAAACTGATGTTTTAAGAAATGTTGCAAGTAAGAAACACCATCCATTTTGTCCTTTTCCTCCCTCTTCCTTAAGATTTACTCCCTAGAATTTCTTATTATTATACTTAGTTCATTTTTCCTTGGCCACAAAAATTTCATTTGCCTCTTTACACCATTAAAGTTCAATGAATTTGGTCATCCAGTTAATATTTATCAGTTTCCTACTGTGTGCCAGGCATGGTGGCAGGCATGGGGAGCTACAGTGGAGAACTTCTTCTCTCATGGTGCTTGCAGTCTAGTGGACAGAGAGACTAGCTTACAGTCTGGTGGACATTAAGTCAGTGATACAATACAAACAACAAAATAAAATAAATCAGTGATACAAATGAGTTTTAAATGTTAACTGTGATAAGTATATTAAGGAAAGGTTCAAGAAGTTTGAGGAAGAATCTTGCAGTGTGGAAATAAACAAAGACCAACTGAAAGAGAACAAGCAAAGGCTATGCATTCAGAATTTGCTTTAGAAAGGGAGTCAGCCACTTGCATTTTGGCAAAGACTCAAGGACAGACAGAGGAGTAGGAAAGCTGTATACTGGGTAAAAAGGAAAGGTGGGAGATATGCCCTGATTGGAAGCTGTTGGCACAGGAAGACTGTAGGTGAGCTACTGTAGGGGAGGTAAAATTTCTCCTCTACCCTCTTAGGGTCTCTGACTGGGCCTATGAGTTAAACTGACATAAGACTGATTAACAGGAGAAAAGCATACAAATTTTACTTAGTAACTTTTATATATATATGTACAAGAAGAATTAAGACTCAAAGAAGTTAAGGCCCAAAACTTATATAGTAGGTTGAACAAAGAGCAGTATTGTGAAAAAGTGACAAGACAAAGGGGTTTGGGCTAGGGTATTTAACTGTGGAAAGTAACTAGGAAGATAAGTGTTAGCTGAACAAGGTTTGTTTTTAC